TAATAATTATTACTATATAATTAATAATAATTTTTTAATTATTTAAAAAAAACAAAATTTTTTATATAATTAAACTTCTAATTTATAAAATTTATTAATAATTTTATTATTAAAATAATTTTAAAAGTATACTACCAGTAGTATACTAAAAATTGTTTAAAATACAAGACTTTGTTAAATTTTTTTCTCAATAATTTTATTATTAATTTTAAAATAAATTAATCATAAAGTACAGTAATTAGAAGATTTATTTAATTTTTGTATATAAAAATTTTTTTAAAAAAAAATTTTTTAAATTTTTTAAAGCAATTAACAAAGTATACTACTAGTAGTATAAAGGCCTAAATCCTATCTATTAATTTAGAGAAATAGCATTGTCCAAAGAATCAAAAATTTTAAGAGTATATTTTGTGAAGAGTGAGGAATAGAAGTTTGATTCTCTTTTGGTATCTGTTTTTCTTGAGAAAAATAAGCTTCTTCTTCTCTAAGTCCTGCAAAGATAGTACAAGTTAGAAAGCATATGGTTATTAGATTTTAAATATTGCTTATCTCAATTTTACGCTTCTTGTTAATACCAATTTATCTAATCATTCAACAGACCATTCAAACAAACTATATGCCACTAATTGAAAGATTAATTCCAGATTATCTTTTGATTGAAAGTGATCGAAATAGCATTGATACTTCTCATTTATGTATTTTTTTTGTTTTTATAAGAAGTTTGTTGTAATATTTTGATTCATATTGATATTTTTCTAAGTAGTAATATAATTTACTTTGGTAAAATTTGCTAATATTATATGTGTTTTTGTTATTAGTAACACTTGATCCAACAATACTTATTTGAAATATCATAGCTTTGAGAAAATAGTCAACAACACCAAGAAGCTTAATTGTATATTTTGTATGTTTAGAGAGTTTGTTAATTTTTTTAGCTTTATCAACTTTCCTCCAGTTGGCTAACTTAAGCAAAACCTCTTTAATATGCTTGAACTTTAGTAGTAGTAAAGATATATTTTCGATTTTTGTATTATCTGACTTGACTGTCTCAAACAAATCACTCATATAAGTTTTTGTTAAGATAATAAAGAGAAAATACCTATCTGATATATCTGTAATGATCCTTGCAAAAGATCTAAGAACTTCTTGAAGCCAATAACTATGTTCTGATTCAAACAGTATATTTGTTTTATCAATGTTGATAATAAAGAAAGGATATTTAATCTGTCTATCCAAATATGAGATGTAATATAGAATTACTTTAAGAATAGTCTCAAGTATAACATTACTTTCTAACATTTTGATAAATATATTAAGAGAGAAATTTAAATAATATTTTAAAGCTTCATATAGCAAAACTTTTTCAAAAAGCAACTCATAATCATTCATTAAAAAATATTACTTCTGAAATATCATCACATACAATTCAAAAAGTCTGGTATGCTTTTTAACATTCTTCTACTGTATCCACAATATCAGAATTGATAACCTCAGAATAAATACCTGATTTTTCATATGCTTATTTAATAAATATAGTTTTTTCTTTTCCAGATATTTCTATAACCATAGAGAACCTTATTTTCTTTTTGGGTTCTGAATATTCATTACGATTTTTAACAAGGTAATACAACTTTTTCATATTCATAATTAACTGAATAATCTCTTTTTCATAGTCAACAAACTTAAAATAAGTTGAAATATTTGTAAAGCTATCTGAAATATTGACAAGATTTGAAAGTGATTTATGAAGTGTGTCTGGTAGTTTACTAATAAATAGATCAAGAATATTTATAATATTATTATAGGATAGAATAGTTTGATATGCTAATGTGTATAATAACATTGAGATAAATTGTGTTAAATTTGATATAGTCAAATGCATTATTATCGAGCACTATATAATTACTAAAAAAAATATCTTCTTGCTGAGAAAGACCTCCTTTAATACAAAAAAAGAGATCAGACCAAATTTGATTTATTGTTACTGCAAATTTTTTGTTCAAGAGATGAGACACTTACTAGTAGTAGCAGGCAATAATAGTTGCACAATAATATAGATGTTCTTCAAGTTACTATATACAAAAATATTACCAAAATTATCAAATGCAGTCAATTTTTTTCATCTAAGTTTTTGTATAGTAGTATTTTTATCACTTATATTATGAGATCTGCTTTCAAGTATTTTTAGTTTAGTATTCTCTATATTGCTAGGAATATCTATCTTTCATAAGTTCAACTTGTTAGCATCAAAATTTTTAAAATTGTTCTTATACTTCTTATAGATTATTTTCTTAAGTTCTGCAATGCTTATTTCTACTTTGCTTTTAACTACAATAGAGTTCTCAACTTTGGTATCTACTACAAAACAAGATGCTATGATATTAGTGATAGATTTGCAAACATGTAAATCAAGAATTAAACCAGAATTTAAAGATAGGGTGTTTATAGATTATTTTTCATATAAACTATATGGCAAATTAAAATTTACAATCTTCTTAATATCATCAACAAATTTTTGTTGTTCATATGATGATTGATAAAATTGTTTAAGTTTGTTTATATTAAAGTACATATGCAAAAAATATAGACTGATATATATCAATCAATATCTATATGAATATATATTAATAATAATCCTCCTTGTTAGGTTCTATCAATTGTGATAGTAATTGATATATAGTTGTTATAACAGAAAATCACTAAAAATCGATTTTATTAAAACCTAATTTATATCAATATATATTTAATAATTATTATACTACTTATTTATAGCAAAAGCCACACTAATACTAGCCTTTAAAATGTTTGAAACAATAATTGAATTTATTTAAAAAATGTTATTGAAATATAATTATTTGATATATAACACAAATTTATTAAATAATAAAAGAAAAAAAATACAATACAAGAAAAAAAATATAATGCAAGAAAAAAAAAATATAATGCAAAAAAAAAAATACAAAAAAAAAAACAAAAGAAAGAAAAAAAACAATATATAAAAAAAGCAATTTCTATTTGTATACAGACAATATAGATATCTGATTATGAAACCCCCTTTTGGTTTCTAATAAAAAAAATTTCATATAAAATTTTGATATAGGCTATATCTTTTCTGATTCCAAACCCACCCTTACCTAACCATAAGCGAGAGTTTAATTTTTCTTTATAAAAATTGATTTGATTAGTATGCTATGCAAATATGTAATTCAATAAGTTATACCTGTGTATAAATACTATGTGTAAACTAATAAATTTTCTATGAAAAATATATATTATATAAAAATAATGCTATAGAGCATATCTAAACAATTTATCTACTTCTTCTTAAGATATTTAACAAGCTCTGTCAGATAAGAGATTTATATTCAGATTCAGAATATTGAAGCGATGCTTCTCTTGATGGTTTGTTATGTATATTTTCATTATTTAATATATTATTGGCTGATTCATAGAAAGGACCATCACCACTTTCAAAATTACTCTAATCAAATATATTAAACATTAATATTGTTATTTATAAAAACAAAACATACAATTACTTACTAAATATGACATCTTATCTGTAATTCTTTGTATAAAATATTTCATAAGCAAGGATTAAACAAAATATCGCAAACCACAAGGGTAAATATACAGTGTTTACTCATTATAGTTAGGACTGCTATCGCTAAATGCTGTTTTTGCTATAATAGCAATCCAGAAGATACTATCTTCGTTTTGCTTAAACAGAGCACTATAACAAGTGTTTACTTTCTGGCTTTTTTTTCATCTTATGATATTGGCTACAGCTACATTGCTTCGTAATCAGGGTAATATCTCAACCCCAAACACACTCCAAATTGCAGCCCTTACATTTTGAAAAGTGGTGCTATGATTATTTTTAATTTTTTTTAGAAGCTATATAATAGTAAATTGCAAGTATTTAGAAAATTAAAAACAGAAAACAAATCATAAGCAATATATAGATAAAA